CTCTCCAAATAGTAGACAAACTAACTTTTCGATCCAACCATAATTCCATTTGGGATTGAAGTTCCCATAAGTACCAAACAATTTTTTCTTTTAATAAAATATCAAGATATATCATATCATCTGTATCCAACAATCGCGGTCTTCCTAAAAACAAGGGAACTTTTTCAACACAACCAAACTCTTGAAAATATTGTATAATACGAGATACAGAAGATTTGCTAACACCCAAGTGTTTTGCAATGATCCTACATGAAAGACCAGATAATGATTTCTCAACTATTTGATAACGAATATGGTTGTTCAATATTAATTTTGGCATTACATTAATATTAATGTTAAAAAAAAATCCGAAATTTTTGCCAACGAAGCAAAAATGAGAGAATGTTTTGCTGAAAAAGATTTTAAAATAAAGAACGTAAAAAAAAAAAAAAAAAAATTTGCGGCACTAATACTGTAATTTGATTGGAGCCGAGAAATTTCTAATCATTTGATTGGTCCTGACATTTCCGACATTTCCGAACAATCTGACAGTGCCGATAAACCTAAATTTTACATGTCCTGCAACTTTTGAAAATAGCTGTAATAAGTTCTTTTAATTTCAGTTCGATGTATAAGCATAATTTATCAACATTATATTCATGAAGGAGACTGTTGATACCATTTCTCAGAGAGTTCGTATCAGATTCCGGTGGTAAAACAATTATATGAATGTATTCCTCGGCTGGTGTGGCAGTAAAGTACTTTGAAATCTTCCTTGTCGCAAGAAGTTCGTCTTGGACCCAGAGTGAAAGGTTTCTCAACTGATCACTATGATTGTCGGGAATTTTCACTTTCCATAACTTGAGCTTGTTTGCATCTACACCAGCAAAGTCATTTTGCTTTTTTGCCTTAATAGTCTCCTTGAGATGTCCAATAAGTCGGTCCATACCAATATCGACAGGAAAGGCGTTCGCGGTTGTATTACCTTTGACGAGACATATGAGAGTAATGATAGATTTGGGGCGTTTTCTTGATGGTGGTTCAAGATTTTCTTTCTCGTCATTCTCGGTTATAGTTCATTTTCATTTTATGGGATCCTGTATAATAATATGTTTAGCTCTTATCAAATTATACATACAATCATAATGTAAGATTTTTATGATTATCACTAACCTTTTTTCGTTCTTCAATCACCCCCTGTCAGTATGTTACCCTCCCTTTGCAAAATAAAAAAAAAACGCACCTTTTCTTCCAGAGCAATACCTAATGTTTCAGCTTCACATAAAAAACGACTTGACCAGGAATTGTCAAGGTCATGCCAGTCCTTTGAAAGGGATGAAGAAACAATGAAAACAATGACATCACGATGTAGGTTCAAGAACCCTTGATATGACGATTTTTCTTTTCATTTTTTTATATAAGAAATAAGGACTAGGAGGTTGAAAGGTTAGTTAGTAGTTGAATATTACAAGTTGAGTGCGAAATACTGTTCACAGGACTTACTATTTTGGCCAGAGTAGCTCTCGGATGTGCTCATGATTAGTTTTCAAGTTAGAACTTCACAAGAATAAATTGTTAGAGTTTATAAGAATAAGAATAAATTGTTCAGAGTAGGGTTTAACACGAGGGTCTTAAATATAAAAAATATTCTCATAGGCAACATATACATCGACGTGAAAAAAACTAAAAATGCGAAAAAAATAAGCTATATTTTTAGTCATTGACTCAACTTTTGTTCATATACGCGTCTTAAATTTAGAGCAGATGATATATGAGGCATGCTGCAACAAAACCAGACAAAGTGAACATTTTATTATGTGATATGAATGAAAGGCTGATTGTGATGTGGCTGTAAAATTGACCAGTGTGACTGATGACATTTTGAAAAGTAATAATGGTGCTTGTTCATAACTTATGAACTTGTTAATTTTAATGCTCACTTTATCATACCAGAATGTGATGAATATAAACCATAACATGATTAATATAGGATTACCTCTATATATAAAAATAGTAATATGAAATTAATTTACATCAGATCTACAATAGAACCCAAGAATTATAGTACTATCAGAAGTATTTTAAAAAAAGAACAAGGTGAAAAAATTGCTCCTTACATTTTCAAAATAAATGATACTCAGACACTGGAAGCTTATCTAAGAAAAGAAAGAATTACCTATGAAATTTACTAAGAAGAAAGAAAAATAATAAATGTTGGAAAAAGAAAGCAGCATGATGATGCATTATTACCTAACAAAAAGCAAAAATCTTTAAAAGGAAAATAACTATTATTTTCTTTGATAGTTGGAATTATACAGAGGGAAATACCTAAAATTACTTTCTTATTTTCAATCAAGATCATTTCTTAGTTTCTTTAATTTCAATTTGTGCAGTTAATTGACCATTCTGTTGTAATTGTTCTAACTGGTTCTTTAATTTCTCATTCTCTGTCTCATAAGCATTTAACTTATTGACTAACTCTTGAGGGGTTAAAGCTTTCAATTGTTCAATTTTCTGAGTCAATTTAATAATTTCTTCTTCTTGTTGTTTAATCTTATCTAACAACTCTTGTTTCTGCCTTTTATGCCAATCTTCTGAGATTTCTAAAGCTTCTAGATGAGTATCAATTTCTGTTCCAGCAGTGTTTAATTGCTCTTGTAAAGAGTTTATTTGTGTTTCATAAAAAAGTGCTATTCCTCCATTTTGGTGAGGTAAAAGAGGGAGTTTTTTCTCTTCTGTATTTTCCTTTCTTTTAACACAACGACAAACAAATTTGCTGGTAGGATATTCAATGTCAGATTGAATTCTTAATCTACCGCACTTATTACACTTTGGCAACTCATCATTTTCAAATCTTACCTTACAATTTTCACAAATAAAATCATTTGCTAATATTTTGTTAGTGATTTGATTGCAGGTTTTGACTTGATAAGATGCTTTTTTAAGACCAAAGCAAAAATCACATACTGAACCATCACTACACCAATCTTCCAACTCTAAAAGTGTATAAATTAGATCTTTCATATATTAGCAATTACCAATCTTTACCTCAATTTTAGCAATAAGTTTTTGTTCTAGTTCTTGCTTTTCAGATTTAACTTTTTCTACTAAGTGTTGGAATTTAATTTTTACTTTTCTCTTAAAGGTTTTGAACTTGTTTGGTAATTTAGATAAAGGTTTATCTAGGTAAATTTTCAAACTGTTTTGTTTTTCTTCTACTAGTCTTTCATTAAGATTTTTCAAAGCTTGTTCATCCTCCTCTGATTGCTCTGCCAACTTCATATTTTTTACCTTTCTTCAGCAAGTCTTCTAACAAATTAAGCAATGTGGTTTTGTTGTTATCAAGTTCTTCTACCAAGTTCTCTATTTTGTTTGCATGCTTTTCATTGCATCAATCCTCACAAACTCCCACAGCATCTAAATGGCAACTAGCACTTACCTTTTCAAATTCGAGTTCTTTTTCTAATTTTTGATTGGTTTTTTCTAGAATAGTATTCTTTTCTTTTAGTTCTTTATTTTCTTGGTAGGTAAAACTAAAAGTTTCTTCATAATTTTGGGCTTCCTTACCAAAACTTTTAACAATATTTTCAGGAGTGAATCCATTGCTGAAAACAACTCTTCCAATTTCAAGTCCATTCTTTTCAGGATAACTTATTCAACCATTTTCAGGTCAAGTAAATCTTTCTAAGGTTTTCAAAGTTACACCAGTATATTCTTCTACATTTTCAGTAAGACTATGAACTGCATTTCAAATTCTTATTTTAAAATTCTCTTTCTTATCAGTTAATTGCTTTTCTAAATTGGAAATTTTGTCTGATAGTTCTTTGTTTCTTTCTTGGAGATTTGTTATTATGTTTTTCATGATTTACTTTTTATTTATTCTTTTAATATACTTATATCCTTTTTATAAGGGTATGTTAAGTATATAATTATTTTAGTACTTTTTTGCTTTAAAAGTAGAAAAAGCTAACAATATTTGTCAAAAGATTAAACTTATTAAACTTAATGACAGTAAGAAGTCATAGAAGTGATTTTATCCTAAATATTTTATTCATTTCCAGTATAGATTGGTCTTGGGCAAGTAATATCTTTGTATTCATCTTTCACAAATGGACAAATATTATTATAAAGGTATTCTTGTCTTTTGTAATCCAAAGGAGGTGGTGTTAACACTAAAATAGATAAAGATTTAATCTCTTTAAAAATATCTGCTTTCTTAGTTTTTAATAAATTGAATTCAGCCAAAGGACCATTAGCAACTTCTTGAACTTTCACTGTACCAAAATCAGTTACTTCAAAAAGAAAATGTTGATATTTCTGGATGCTTGGTAATTTCTTAAAATAAATACCCAAAATAGCTTTAATATCTAAGTATTGAAAACCTTTTCCACCTTCATAACATTGAGCTTTATTTAATCCTGCTGGACTAGACTTTTTTACCACCTCAACCACATGATCCAGACAGTCTACTCTTGTTCTTCTATAGAGTTTTTTAATCATCCCAAAATTGCCATCAC